GACCCCATCAAAAAGGGGAATTTCAGACCGATATCCCTGATGAATATGGATTCCAAAATCCTCAACAAAATCCTAGCTAATAAGATCCGACAATACATTAAAAGGATCATCCACCATGACCAAGTGGGATTTATCCCCGGGATGCAAGGGTGGTTCAACATTTGCAAATCTATCAGCGTGATAGAACACATTAATAAGAGGAGAGGGAAGAGCCATATGATCCTCTCAATTGATGCAGAAAAAGCATTTGACAAAATACAGCATCCTTTCCTGATTAAAACTCTTCAGAGTATAGGGATAGAGGGAACATTCCTCAAGTTCATAAAATCCATCTATGAAAAACCCACAGCGAATATCGTCCTCAATGGGGAAAAGCTGAGAGCCTTTCCCTTAAGATCAGGGACACATCAAGGATGCCCACTCTCGCATAAGTAATGTTCGACAGTTATTTGACTTTAAATGGGTGGGTCTGTTCCTAGGCTCTCTTCTGTTCCATTGATCTGTTTGTCTCTTCTTTTGCTAAAACCAGTCTTGATTAGTGTGGCTTTATAGGGAATCCTGAAGTCATATGGTATCAGTCCTCGACTTTGTTCTTTTTTACTATTATGTTGCTTATTCTGGATCTTTTGCCTTTCCTTACAAAGTTTATTTTTTTAAAAGATTTATTTATTTATTTGAGAGAGAGAGAGCGAGCGCGAGCGAGTTGGGGGAGGAGCAGAAGGAGGGGGAGGGAGAGAATCTCAAGCCGACTCCCCACTGAGCGTGGAGTCCAATGTGGGGCTCACTCTCATGACCCTGAGATCATGACCTGAGCTGAAATCTGGAGTCGGACGCCTAACCGACTGAGCCACCCAGGTGCCCGTCCCTATAAACTTTAGAATCAGATTTTCAATATCCATAAAATAATTTGCTACAATTTTGATTGGGGTTGCATTAAATCTATAGATCAAGTTGGGAAGAAATGATATCTTAACCATGTTGAGTCTTCCAATCCATGAACACGGAAGATCCCTCAATAAAGATTTATTTAGATATTTATTTTTCTTTGTCAGACCTTTGTACTTTTCCCTATATATCCTGTACATATTTTATTAGATAAGTATTTCTTTGGGGGGTGGACTGCTAGTGTAAATGGCATTGTGTTTTTAATTCCAATTCCAATTGTTAATTGCTGGTTTATAAGGAAAAAAAATGGACTTTTGTGTATTATTACCCTTATATTCTACAACCTTGCTGTAGTTGCTGATCAGTTCCAGGAGTTTATTTCTTTTTTTGTCCATTCTTTGGAATTTTCTTTCTTTATTGAAGAAGGGTCAACACACAGTGTTGCATTAGATTCAGGTGTACAACATAGTGATCTGACAACTCTATATGTTATTCTATGCTTACCACAAGTGATAACACTATTACAATACCGGTGACTATATTCCCTATGCTGTACCTTTCATCCCTGTGACTTATTCATTCCATAGCTGGATGCCTGTACCTTCCACTCCCCTGTACCCATTTGGTGCATCCTCCCCATCTCACCACACAGCAACCATCAGTTTTTTCTCTGTATTTATGGGTATGTTTCTGCTTTTTTGTTTCTTTGCTCATCTGTTTTGTTTTTTAGATTCCACATGTAAGTGAAATAATATCATATTTGTCTTTCTCTGTCTGACTTATTTCACTTAGCATAATACCCTCTAGGTTCATCCGTGTGGTCACAAATGGCAAGATCTGATCCTTTTTATGGCTGAATAACATTCCATCCTGTATGTATTTACATCTATCTACCTATCTACAGCACATCTTCTTTATCCATTTATCAATCTGTGGACACTTAGGTTGCTTCCATAACTTAGCTATGATAAATAACGCTGAACTATATATAGGGGTGCTTATATCTTTTCAATTCAGTATTTTCGTTTTTGTTGGATAAATACCCAGTAGTAGAATTATTGGATCATATGGCCTCCCTCCCTCCCTTCCTCCTTCCCTCC